GTGAACTGGCATCAGTTCCATAGTCCGTAACGGGGGACATGTAATGGTACCTCATGTGTTTCCGTTTCCCTCATTATGGACGGCAGTTCACACTAAACACTGGCTCCTAACTTAAAATGGGGGAGGGGCCTAAAGCCCACCCAAAGGTCCTTCAGCACAAGACAGAGCAGTGCTTTGGTTTGTTGTACACCGGGTGGCTGTGAGTCTGAACGGACTCGGCAGCACCTGACAACAACGACAACATCAACAACAGCAACAAAGGTGCTCTCTGTCCTCTCCCCAGAGGTTACTACAGCCTGCGGAGCCCGTGGAGCACGGTTCGGCTGTGAAGCACATGGGTCTCCATGAGTCACCCGGCCTGGAAGGCAGCTGGGCTTCATTTGGTATTTAGGGGGGTGGCGGCAGGGAGGGGGTGCTTATTGAGTAATGATGCGCGCGCATGTGTGTGTGTGTGATACGTCTGTTCCAAGTTTTCTCCCACTTTTTATTGAGTTGTCATCTTGGTATTGAGTTGTGAGAGTTGTATAAAGATTCAGTTTAAAGTTCTTGACCAGGACAGCGCATGTTCTGGATTTTGTTTTCAGTTTATGAGTGAATATAACGAAAGGTTCTTCAGTACTAGCTTAGTACTAACTGGAAGGTAACTGCTGCCTTGTACATGTAAGTAACCAAAGACTAGATGGAGAAATGAAGTGTTTTCTGTGTGCCCAAGATGAATGAACCAAACCCGGGCTGTGACTGCAGCTTTCAACTTGGAAGTAATTGTTGTTTGTTAGGGTTCAGCTGTTGTGAAAACCCACCCAATGGCTGTGTTTCAGGTGTTTAATCAATCGTATCTGTTCCAGTGCATTTCATCTGCCTCTTGTCCCTGTGGGGACTGACCAACTGCCAAATAAACTTTTAGAGACACTGAAGAGGCATTAAGAGGCCAAGTGAAATCAGTGTTGGCTCATGGACACGAGAGTCAAGTATCACTTCAATTGTAAACGGGAAATGTGGCTTATTTTACAGTGTTATTCCTTGAAACTCAATGGCATTTTTATGTATATGTGTACACTCCTGGCCAAATGAAACACTTGATTAAAATTAGAAATGATACTATTCATTGTTGGATTATTATGGTATGACTACTATCTTTACACAGAATGTAGATCACACTTCAATTGTAATTCCTTGAAGTAAAATGTTATTTCTCTGTGATCACCTCCTCTGAGCAGTG